TAAACCTTTGCAGAGCTCAAACCTACAGCAGTGAAAGGCAGTTGGTTTAATGTCAAAAAACTAAACCAATATGCCACAGACACCCCAAGTTATTTTATCTATTTGCTAAGCAGCAATTTTTACAAAATTATTTAAATTTATAAATGTGAGTGATTCTGATAAACTATAGACAGCTAAGTCAAGATCAGATTATTATGTCAGACAGCTTACTGTGAATATTCAATATTTTAATGTCAATTGTCTCGAGGTGAAAAGGAAAGGAAAGCTGAATTCCTTGTCACAATTCTTCTTGCTACTTACCTTTGTTCCTAATTGCTAGTATAAGATGTAGTTTAAATACACTGAAATTCTTTTTTTTATTAATTTGGCTTTTTGTGACAATAGACTATCCAGTGACAGAAGCTCACTGACTTTAAATAAACTGTCCTGCGTCGGCCTTTAAACAAGTCAAGAATAAAAAAACTATTAGAATACAATTATTAATAATATCATTATTAAGAAATATCATATAGAAATACTTCTAAATAATAATGTACCTCTTCCTTAAGTGTCCATGCTGTTGAAAGAAACATTTATCCATTTATTAACTTCAAGGTTAGTCAGATTGACAGTCTCACATTTTAGCCTTTATCTCTCTTGATTCCATCCTCATTGACCCTAAAGCATCCTTAAATCTATATCCTGCCCTTCACATTCACAAATACAAATCTGACATGTAGGCCTACCTTCTAAAACAGAAAGTTGGAAAGATAAAATATAATTATTATGAGATATACATATAGTATCCCAATAATTATGTTAGTTCATATCAAATAAATAATTTAAGAAACAATTTGTCCAAAATTGCCCAAGTACAAAGATTTTTGAATCAAATCTATGATATAATAAAATAGTAAATACATTTTTTATTTACATGTAAGCTATAATTCAATTTTCCAAGTCTTAGGAATGGTCCAGTATAGTAATTATAGTGTATATACAGTATGTACTATATGTCTTTACAATCTACTATACTGTCCTGAAATTTTAAGAAAACAACTATCTTTTACATCCATTTCTCAGAAGTTGCAAAACCAAGTAAATGAAATTGTTCTGGGTTTTTATCATTCATTCTGCACAACTTCTGATCACAAAAGCTTCAAGGACATTTATGAGTAAATCAGGTCCTATCCTGAAAGACTGTTGTGTTCAACTTTGAAGACTATATTCAAAAATAACAGAGTTATAGCCACTAATAGCAAAAGATCAAGCAAAATTTAGACATTTTACCTTAAATGTTAACATGAAGGTCAAGTTTAGTCTGGTCTACTTGAAGGGTTGTTGTGACCAAGTATGAGGACAATACACCAAGATCTGAAAAAGTTATGAACAAGGTTAAAATTTGTTGACAGCAATGGGAAAGCCGTCATGACTGTAACAATATATTTTGGTATGTCTACCCTATACGCACTGTTGAGCCTAGCCGTTCTGTAATTTTTCAACAATAAATAAATGTAATGATGAAGTCGGTAACTTGCAAGTCTTCTTACATTTTTACAAAGAATTAACATATCTAAAATTTATATTGTTTCTTAATAATTCTATGATGATGTTCAGCCATAATTTATATAATAACAAGATATCCGAAAGATCTATCAGAAATAAATTGGCCCGTGGACTTTAATGTCAATTATAGAGCTCTTATGCAAAATGTAATGGTAAGCATACATCCGCATTAAATTTTCAAGTAGCTAAAAGTTAAACTATTAAAAATACTTTGTCATAATCCAACTACAGCTGGATTGACCCACATGTTTGATTACAAATTTTTACACCAATATTGTCCAAAGAAATGATTTGATAATTTTCAGTCTATTTCTCTTTGCGTTTTCACACAGACTTTAACTATTTATTCACGCCATGATTTTCAGAAGGAAAAAAATCTTCTGATCATCAAACACTAAAAATTAATATACAAACTGTAAATTGTATATGATATTCAATAAAATCTTCTTTTAGAAAAACAGGCTTGCGTATTATTGTTTTAGGCATCTTATTTTTAAAATGCTGTACGGCTAGCCTCAACAGCGAGTATATGCTTGTCGTGTGTGACTCCCATACAGCAAGCACTTTTGTCAAACAATACTAGTTTATATTGCTAGCCGCCGCCATTGTAAATTACTCCTTCCTCTACCAACTCACATACTTCCATCAACAAAAATTATGAATACTAATTTAGTATAATAATCATATAGATGTTAGACAATAAAAGTATTTAAATGGTGACTAAATATGATGTATATAAAATTCCGCTGCTAAAGACAAGTTGTTTTTATTGATTCAATGTTTGTTTCTACAAAGGTAATTAGGTAAGTTTCATCACCGTATGATGACTTATTATATTATATATGACTCATATTAAATAGTGAAAAAAATTTGCAATGTTTACCTGCTTACCTTGTCGACATGGTGATTACACAAATACGGGAAAATTACGTACATGAGAAAATAGTTTGTATTAATATTTCATACGCATTATACAAAGTTCTTACAATATATTTGCACTTTTGAAACATTTCAAAGCTTATAGATTTGAAAAAAAACCCAACATATTGCAATATTTTGTTAGTTGTTGCGTTTTATGACTAAATAATGTTGGTAATATATTTATGCATGTTTTTTACTCTAATTGATAGGATTTAACTCATTACATGACTGGGGCAGTACCTCCAGTCACTTGCAAAAATCATGATCACAAAATAGAAAACTATCTTTTTTCGCCAGTTATTATATTTTTCCTGTATACCATGGCAAAGTTTTGGACCTATTTTGTCCAGCTTAGATAGCTTATTGAGGTGTGTTCAAAAGGTAGTTAAGCATCCCAAAAATGTAATAATAATTTAAGAAAATATCTTTCCACATTTTTGAATAATCCAGATATTAATCAGTGATAAAGAGTAATAAAGAGTGATAAAACAAACCAATATACCAATAAATTGAAAAGTGGACCGAGTTGGAAAAGGGCCGAGCTGACTCGATGTAATGCACTAACATTTGCATCAATAATCATAAAATCAAGCGAAATATATCAACAGCTTTACCAGATTTGGAAGAAAACTTGATTCTACACACGGAATTGATTGCACCTAAAATATCAACGTAATAAAATATTAACAAACATCTTGACCTGCTGTATTTTCTGTAAACACTCAACCATATAGGTCGTTTTCCTGACGAATTTGCTAGATCTACTGATAAATGCAAGACAAAGCAACGAAGTTACTAAACAGTTATGTATACATGAGATTAAGTGTTCGTATAATAAATCTTACAACTCTTTTAAACACCTGGGACTTCCTAATCGACAGCAATCTCTTCTCAATCTTTCTCGGAATAACTAGCCAAGATGGCGATTGCGGGAAAATGATGTCAGAGAGGAAATAGTCCGTATTCATACGCATAAATTTTTTTCTCTGACATGCACACTTTTTAAGCATTTTAAGCTTAAAGTTATCTAATTTGAAAATCGTATTCCATTTTATCCTGAATTATTGTGTTCTCTGGTATTTTAACTTATGCCTTGAAAAAATTGGCACTAAATTTATTACGTATTCTGGTTTCATACATCGGGAACCAGATGGTAGAAAAAATAAACTGGTTCTCTTTAAATTTGTATCGACTGCTGGCGTAGTAATATTCAAATCGCGTAAAGCAATGATATATGTAATTTTGTGATAAAAAGAATTAAAATTTAGTAATAAAATGACCAGTCAATTTTGAAATAGATAAGGTATTATGATTATATGAATATTATAGCAAAATATTGGAACTATTTTTGCTCCGCGCTGATAGCCTAAATGTGTTCAAACCATAGTAAGCTGAATTTATCGTAATTACATTGGGGGCTTGGAACATTTTTTTCATTTATATTTGACATCACTAAAACCAATTTACTAGTGTTTCAATACAGTCTTGTGCACAGAATAGTTGGTACAAGTTAATTATAAAAAATAATTATATAAGATGAATTTCAAAGATAATCCCATCTGAAGTTTTTGCAATAATAATTTTGAAATCTTAGGACATCTCTTTTCGGACTGTGATGTGCATTTAACAAGAATATAATTTCTTTAAGGCATACGAAATGCAGATTATAGAACAATTATTTTTCTTTTGTTTGCAAAGTAGTTAATATATTATTGTAAAATGAATTTTGATAGATGTTACTAAACATTATATTGAGTACCAATATCATATCGAAAGAGAAAAACAAACAATAATTAACAATGTATATATTTTTTAAAAACATTGGGAGAATTTGGAATATATTTTCAATTCATGATTCAATTCATGCATTAGATAGTTTTGAATTAAGTAAGACTGAAAACAATTTTTATTCATTAAAGGGATAAACTAAATGGCTATAAAACAATATATAGAAAAATTAGAAGGATTATACGTTAATGTAGCATGTGTACTTTTGTTCGGTTTAGATGTATGCTTATGTGTTTTGTATAAGTGTGTTCATCTTTCTGTTTTTGAAATAAACGGGATTTCCCTTGCAGGGCGCAAAAAATATCACAAATACACTAATTAAAATGTGATCTCACCGTGGTAATGATAAAATGGAACTATTTTTATATTAGCAACGTTTGGGTCATCTTCTTCGCATTGGTGTCTTATAACGCTTCAGTAACAACAGTCGGAAAATAACTTCTTTCGTAATAAGTAGTAATTGAATGAAAATAACATGTCGGTGTTTTCTTTTGCGTTTCGTGATAATATCGAATTGAAACGTTGAACTTTTCATTTTTACTTTCTGGTGAGTTGTTAATCGTGTATTTAACGTTTAATGTTTTATGGCATATATACAAAAATGCATTAATACTGAATATCACTTGTCAATATAAATAAAAGAAATGAAAGCAATATTGTTATTTATGGACCATTAGCTGAATGTAAATTTCAAGTTGTAATATGCTTTATTCAAAACTATTCTATTAATATAATCAGCAACTTACCTGTATTCAAAAAGTTGACCAAACAAAATATGATACACCACTTCAAAGCCATGATGGCTTGATATGAGTGTTAAGAATTCACAACATTCAATGCATGTTTAAAGCTCAGGCATATTACATAAAGCAAAAGTATTCACAAAACGTCCAATGAATCTGCGAAGTAACTTGTTGCGTTGCTCGATCAAACCAAAATGAGAGTTTAATATGACTCGTTATAGCTAAAAACCATATGTAAATGCCATAACTTATTTTGATTTTGGCATTTCCGGGCAATTTGCAAATCATTAATATCACATAAATGTTATATTTTGATTATTTTCCCATCGGCAACTGAGTATTTAAATAGTGGTGCAAAAATATAAATTAGCTAATTAAGAGTTTTTTAACAACAGCTTCCTGAATAAGTTTGCAAATCCGGGATTTTCGCAAACTCAGCTACCCTTTCTTATGAAATTAGAAAATAAATGAAGAGTTCAGTCAACAATGGGTATAAAATTAAACAAAAACTGGTCTTTAAATTTCACATACCCCGAAGAATTATTGCTGGGAAGACAATCAAAGTTGAGTCCCCCATGGGGTTTTATCATTCTCCCACTGAGGTTTTGCTCTATAAGGGGGTTTATCCCCATTCTATAAAAATGGGAGATAAAAATAATGGGAGATTTGGACAATATAAAGAATTAACTTGTATGCAAGAAAATTATTGTTGTAGTCTTCAAATACTTCATTGTGTAAATAAAAACATAAAAGTAATGTTTAAAAATCCTCCCATTTTCGTTGCGGGAAAATCCACCCATGATTGAAACATGTTGATACAAAGGAAAAAATGCCATTTCTGATAATGGGAGATAATTTCCATTCTTTACAAATGGGAGAATATGCTATCTATGAGATGTGACGCTAAAAAGGTGTAATACAATATGCAATAATAATATAAAATCCAAATAACAGATAAAATGGCGCGGAAGACACAACTAAATAAAAATTTAAAAAAATGATAATAATTATAATGATAATAATAATAATTGTTATAATAATGATGATAATGATAATAATAATAATTGTTATAATAATGATGATAATGATAATAATAATAATAATAATAATCATAATAATAATAATGATAATGGTAATAATAAAAATAATTAATTATGATAATTAAAAATAATAATTAATAACGATAAAATAATTATAATAAAAATAATAATAAAAATAAAAATAATAATAATAATAATAATAATGATAATAATAATAACAATATACATAAAATAGAAATATATATAAATAAAATAGAAATAATAATAATGATAATAATAATAATATTAATAATAATAATGATATTGATACTACTACTACTACTACTACTACTACAAATAATAATAATAATAATTATAATAATAATAGTAGTAGTAATAATAATAAGAACAATCATGATAATAATTATAATAATAATAATAATAATAATAATAATAATAATAATAATAATAATAATAATTATTATTATAATTATAATGACAACGATAACAATAATAACAATAATAATAAGACAGGCAATGGCATCTTGGAATATGACGGGAATGAATACAAAAAAAAATATCATATGTAACGAATTAATCAGCAAAATCCATTTAAATTAAAAGGTTTCCAAATAGCTTTGATGACCACAAGCTAAATGGCAAGTTTCCCACGTTTTGAATTATTTGATTTCTTATTTGACTTAATACATACCAATACCGCCGAAAGTTTTTTTTTTTTTTTTTTTTTTTTTTTTTTGCAAAAAATAGATGTTGATCACTTCGTTAAGTTGTAATAAAAACCTAATAGACCATAAATTTTTAATATTATTCATATAATGAAAAACAACAAGCAATTCCAATAATGGAAATTGTTTCACTTTTTCTGTGATTATCATCGTCGGATGAAAATTGTGACCTTTTTTTCAAGCTGACAGGGGTCACAGACATACGCCAATCAGCGATCGTTATCAGTTACACGCTAAGATGCCTGCGAAGTCCACCATGTACCTTAGGCTAGCTACTTGTCTAGTTTTAATTTAATGTAAATTTAAAGCTATTTAATCAGTACATTAATGAAGATACCAAATAAACTGGCATATTGGCAGACCGAGTAAGTTAGTTTATTACACAAAAAGTCAATAAATTAATACATATGGAAATTAATATACAAAAGCAACGCATTATAAAAAAATCTCTGTGTTTCTTTTTTTATTCATACTGATTATACCTTAATTCTTACCAATTCCTCGCGCATTTTCGCATAAATATTAAACTGTGAAAGAGACATAATAAACAAATCAGACAATTATTGCTTCGATACCGCTCAATTAACGTATAAGACCCAACCAATTGACAATTGCACAAGATTATTCACACCTTCGCCGTCCGGTATAATGTCAGGGTAATTATGTATATAAATGACTTCATACTGTTCATAGTTCCTTTTCAACCGTCCGATTTTCGGTTTTTACACATTCTGGTATTGTCAAGGTTTAATGCAATCGTTTAATAAAGACAAAATTAATTGTCCGATATCAAGAGAGTTCCGATGTTTACAGCGTCCCGTTTTCTCAACTTTCACTGTATTGTATTTACTCATTATATTTGCATCTTTACGGCTGCGTTTTTATTGACGCTTTACGTTATACACAACTAAAATTCATATATTCTGAGACCTTATTATATGCATAAAATGTGATTATGAATATGTAGAATGGTAATGAAAAAAAAATGTGGATTTGTTGACACATTTTTATTGTTCATTGCCTTGCGCTATAAATGTTTCGTACCCACTATAAAACTTATTATTTCCATTTGTAGAAATTAATTGATTTTTGGTATAATAAACTTACTTACTCGATCTGTCAATATGTCAGTATATTTGGTATTTTTATTAATATACCGATTAAATAGCTTTGAATTTATATAAAATAAATCATAATAATTTCAATCTAAATTACCTCTGCACTATAGTTTTTGACAAGTAGCTTATCTGAGGTAAACGGTGGACTCGCGAAACTAATAATGATCGCTGATTGGCTTATCTCCGTGACCCCTGCAAGCTTGATTGACAGGCGGCGTAATGTCAATTATCGTTGCTTAACACATTAACCTAACAGGCACATATGTACAGTATCATAAATAGGACGCTAAACGGTCTATCGCTCCTCAAAATTGATAATGTGCTATAGAAAAACAAAACCGGGGACAAAACCCGTTGCATATGCTTTATTGTATGTTCCTTGAGGGTTTTTATAGTAGAAAAGCGGTCCAAAATAATGTTATTTAGTACTATAAATCCATTAACAAGGGAAATCCGATGCTATATTTATAGATGAAGTATTTGAGAAATGAAAGTTTATTTTTAAAAATGCGATAATTGTCGTCATATGAAAACCGCGTTATTCGCCGAAATAATGGTTTTTCGAAAAATGTTAAAAATAGCCGTTGTTATAAAACAATTATTTTTATAATACTTGTAACAAGAATGTAATATCGAATTTACAAAGACTTGAAGACAACGATAGTTTCATTCCGTGAATTTCCGTCGCAGCCACGAGGGAAATAATTATGAGCTTTTAGTGATCTCAAGGTGAAATATATTTCAATTTTACACTACACTTAACAAATTTTCTTTTTATTATAATTATGCAAAGAAACGTTTAAAAGGACATTTAGCCTAATACTCAATGAAAAGCGCGCCAAATAATTATACTACGTGACGTCATTTAAGACGTCACGTCATTAAGTTGGTTTCCAGTACTGTGAACGCTTGTATTTCACTGAAACAACGTAAGGGGCTTAAATTAAAAACAGTGAAATTATCAGTTTTTAGTTAACTGATATATTTCTATAAACTACCGAAAAGCATGTATAGGAAGAATAATACTGATGAAAATTTTGAGAATTTTAAAACATATTGAAATAGAGCTAATGAACTTATTTTTATGGCGAAAAAGAACCATTTTAATAATTCATGTGACAATCATAAAAATGATTCAAAGACCTTATGGAAATCCCTTAAGGAGCTTGGTCTAGGAGGGCTGATCAAAAATAAACAGGATTGTGACTGTCAATTGAAGAGTTTTCAACCTATCACTTATTGTTATATATCACACTTAATCGTAAAACAATACCTGTAAACTAATGCTATATCTAATCTGATAACGCAAATAGTTTGTCCGTAACAGCGAATTCAAAAACCATGGTAACGCACACCCGGCGCAGTGCGTAAATTTGCGTTGTCATCCGGCGCTTAATGCTGCGTATATTTTACAATATGGTTAAATTGGATTTCAAAATACGCCAAAACGTCATCAACCATATCTTTGACGAGTCAGAAAAAAATGACTTCATTTAAATCATATTTATATTTGCAATCACAATTCAAAGGTCATTTGTTAAAAAAATACTCACGTTAAAACTATGTCGTTGGAACGTCTCGGAGATCGATCAATACGAAAAGTTTATCAAAAGTAAGGCGAAAAAATGTTTAAAACGTAGAAAAGGATTATGACTAACAAGAGAAAAGTTCCAGTAAGCCACGGCATAGTTTGTGATAAGCATAAATGATTAAGAAAGGGTAATAGACAAATAGAAAACAAGTAACAGAGAAACAGAAAAATGAAATTTTCAAGGACGTTGGTGACGTCAATCGCCGAGACGTTGAAAACTGACAATCGATTGACTGCGGACAATTGTCGGTGATGTTCGACAGTAGCTACGGGACGGTGCAGTCATCTTTAAGGATTTTAAAATGATAATTGTTAATGCATTATGTACATAAATTGTATTCTTGGTTTACAATTGTATAAATTATTTTATTAATTTACGCAGTAGTCTTATGGAGAAATTGTCACGGTTCAAATTCGGCTATGCGTTTTATTTGTTTTAAAATAATGACAATTTTGTTCTTAGTTGTATTATTCTTTTATTTTCTAGTATGTATGATACATTATCATTCAGCAACTTTATTTTACATTATTTTTAATACATAATATAGTTTATTGCATGTGCGATTTTTCCAGCAATCATGTTACAATAGGAAAGAACGGGAGTTTGCGTAATTACAGGAGCTCTTTATCATCATCCGTTTTATTACAATACAATATTATACCAACTTGTACAGAGATATAATATTAGGCAGTGGATAACAT